GTTTTGCCTGCCTTACCTGTAATTAAACCCCGTATTCCCCGATACCCTGACGTCTGCGCCTTTGTCTCCGTTCTGTCCCGCTGGGGACGACAATATTATTATAATTAAATGTATTAATGGTTTATTATTAATATTAAAATAATAAGAAATATTTATTTAAAAATGTTTTTTATTATGTGTTTATTTTTATTATATAATAATAATTACTATTACTGTTTATCATTGTCTAAATGTATTTTTACTGTCTAAATATATGTATTCAGCTAGTGTAAACATGCACAATGCTATCACAGCGAATGCGAGGCTGAGAAGCGTTACCCTTTGTTTCCGCTGAGACGTGCTGCATGACTCATTTCCCCGCGTGTACAAGTTATCTTAGGTCGGTGTTCACGGTTTGACTTCTGAGATTCAGATCGAGTTATAGGTAATTTTTTTTTTAACTGGTTGGTTCGACTTTTAAGAAATTGAGTTTGAGAACTGAGGTACCACTGTATTTCTTATTTCCTATTTCCAGGAAGTTATGTCTACAGACATTGTACAGCATGGACCAGCACTTCATGTGCTCCATGCATAGATTTTACATTCAATGACCAGCCCAATGATCTGGAACAGTGCAGCCCATGTACAGCCTGTGACAGAGGTAACATTTCAGTTCAGTTACCCATCTTATTAACTCATTCATGCAGTATGATACATTCTTTTTTGTTTTGGTGTTTTTACATTAGATCTGGTTTCTTTTCTCTTTTCTCCACAGGCCTTGGTGTGAAAACAGTGAGGGCATGTACACCCTCTTCAGATACAGTGTGTGGGGTCCTGGAAGGGCACTATTGTATTAATCCTTATAAGGGAGGGTGCAGTAAAGCCCATAAACACACAGCCTGCAAACCTGGACAGTTCATCAAACAGCCCGGTTTGTGTGGATTTCTCATACTCATAATGTATGTTTTAATGAGTAAACCCAGATATTAACTTTGCCATCTTGAAATAAGTTAATGGTTTTAAATTTGTTTACCTTTCAGGAACAGAATACACTGATACAGTATGTGAGGACTGCAGTGATCATTCATACTCTGATGGCTCTTTTACATCCTGTAAACCGCACACAGAGTAAGTTCTTCATAATTCCAATCAGTCAATGATCAGAATTTTTTTTTATGAAGGAAACATATTATTTTCCTGTGTGTTTATATTACATTTGGTCACAATGGTTTCTCATATTGTACATGCTAATTTTTACAGCTGTGAATGCAGAGGACTTGTCACAGTTAAAGCAGGAGACCAATCAACTGATTATGAATGCAGAGAGATTAGTCGTACTGAATTGACATTTTTGATAGCTGTACCAGTAGCAGCAATAATAATAATAATAATAATAGCAGTTACAGCAGCAAACAGAAGAAGAAAGAAAATACCCTGAACGTGGTAAGAATATTACATACTTAAGTGCATATGAGGGTTTATAAAAAATAAATTTTTATTGGGTATGAACAAAAAAAGGCATTTCAAAAACTAAAGTTGGCAGTAATCTGAAATACTACATACACAATGAAGAAGTGAACTTGAATGACACTAAGCGGTACTGTGATAATTTTTTTAAATTAACATATATCTTTTAAGAATCCTTGAGCAGAATAAGGAGTGTTAAATTACTTTTTTTACGCAAATTTTGTCTGAAAAATGTATGTAATACATTGAACAAAGTTTTCAGAAAACCAGACTATATTAATTATTTTCTATTATTTCTATTTTTAAGTTTTGATAGGATCCACCCCCAGAAGATGAAAATATGGTACCAAAGACAAACTAAAGTAAGTCAGTGTAGTCAATAACTTTAGGAAAGTAACCAAAGGTCCTTTTATGTATAAGCTGATTGATTTCCATCCCCCTGGGTTCAGTGTAAAATGGGCTCCCATAAGACAATGACTGTGGATCCTGCATTTATGTCCAGGTCTGTGTTACACGTGTAGTTACTGAAGGTTAGTAGTTCACGTTGCTCTTGTGCTAACAGGCAGCTTGTTTCTTCCTCAGGTATAAGATGACGATGTGAAATAAACCCACAGAGGAGCCGCCTGATACTTCTGAATATTTCACCTCCCCCTTCACAGGTTTAAATTCTTCAATAACTGCACAGCGGATAAATAATCCTTGATTTTTCTCCAGAGGATTGTAACGTCTGTATCTCCTCCTGGCTTTCAGACACCAGTGTGGATGTTCTTTGCATTTTGAAAAAGAACAAATCAGCTGCAGAGCTTCTTTGTGCTGCTTAGTCCATGTCTTGTTCGTCTTTACAGAAAGTCCTGCTTACCTGACTGTTGACTCTTGGCTGATGTGACTGTAATTCTCTCTGTTTTTAAAAAATAAACCTGCCTCCTCATGTCTCTGGAGCCCTGTGATTGGTTCCTACTCTGCTTTCCCTGGCCTGTTTTTAAATTGTTTGGTAAAATTTTGGCTGACGCTGACACTATATGATTTTATTTATAATTGTAACCACACATTTCTACAATAGCAAAGAAGTACAGTACTGCTTATAATTTTGTATAATTAACATTTTTCCAAGCTATCTCTCCCAGATTTTCTCTCCCTCCTACCTCTTGACTGTCATGGGTAGCATTGGAGGTAAGCTTGGAAGTAGTACCAGCATAATACCCATTGTCCTCCCACCCAGAGGAGTGCTGGTAGGAGATGGAAAGGGAAGTGCCTGAGGAGGTGTGGACCGCCGTGATATGGATGTAGGTTAGGGTGACCAGATAACCCATGTCAGGGAGGACACTCTGAGCTAGGACAGGAATTGTAAATTACCATTTCAATTAAAAGGACCTGGATTTCACTTGAGCACTGAGTTCTTGCTGTGTGCTGATTGGTCAGTCTCCTATAATCATGCATGTGTCACTAATGCTAATGTGAAACAGCTGGATG